GGAAGCTGGGGTTTTAGTTTGGTCATTCAGGTCCCCAGGCTAATCTGGCCAGTAAGAGGGACAGTGCCGGGTGGGGTAGGCGTTCCTGGGCACTGCTGACCAGCTGAGAAGGGCCTCCCCTCTCTGCACTTCACTTTTTCATCAAGTGAGAGTTGGATGTCTAAGGTTCTCCTCATTTTGGCTAAAACTCTTTAATTCCTAGCCCCTTTTGAGGACAAATGCCAGATGCCTCTGAGGATTACGTTGGCCAAGGACTTTTTTTACCAGAAATATTTTCACACATAAAATGTGAGGGTGGGTGGGGGCAATACATTCAGACTTTACTAAGGCTTCAGCTGGGCAGCTGTCTCCATCACCGCCAGGGCCTTAGGGCCTTTGGGGCTGTGGAGTCCACTTATGGGGCAGAGTGGTGCTGGGGTAGGTGAACCAAAATCTCCCTTGTGGGGTGCACTGGTGACAAGGAGCCTGAACCATGGACCCCACCTTCCTAAGCTTAGATCAAAGCAGGCAGCCTCTCACGACACTCACGGACAGGCTCCCCACATGCAGAGACTGATGGCTGCCTTGGGCTCCCTAGACAGAGCAAGATCTGCAGAGACGACTCACAAGGACCCCAAGTCCCTCCTCCTTCCTCCTCTACTCTTCACCTTCTCCCAGCCTCTCCTCTATGTCCAGGCCCACAGTCTCCTAGGTGACAACTGCCTATGATGGGCATGAGTTCTGAGAACAAACCCTGGGTCCCAAGTAACTGCCTCCTCTCACAGCACATCTCATTCCTCAAATCGTAGTATGGATATTACTACTTTAAGAAACCCCTGCTACCATGCAAATTCCTGAAGCCATTCATTTTTAACACGCAGACGCAAATTCACTTTGCCAAGAGCGGAAGCAGCAGAAGGCTCAGGCAGAAGGTCTGGTAAAGGCTACTCACCCAGGGACTGGGCTGCTGGAATGTGAGGGAGAGGACTGACAAGGGGGTGATGGGGAAGGGTGGCTACTGAAGACCAGGTGCCTCTCAGGACCAGCCACCCACGTGTCAGATCTGTACACAGAGCTGCCAGGTTCTGCTCTCCCCAGGACAGAGCCTCATGATGTGGGCTTAAACACCTCAGTAGAATGAATAATTCTGGACACATTGGCTCAAGAGTCAGAAAACCCCAGATGTGACTTCCAGCTCTGCCACTAGCATACAGAAACCAAGGGCATCAAAGTCCCCAGTCCTCTAAAATTCCTTGAGTCCTACTCTGCTGGACCTAACTGGTCAATAACTAAAGACCTGATCAGCAAGGTTTGTGAGCATCGGTTGGCAAGTTCAAGGCCACTGCTCCCACTAGCAGAGAGGTGGTTGAGGTTCCTCCCAGTCACCACAGAGAAGATTTAACAAGTAAAAACCTGCAAACTCTTTATTAAATTCTCCCATTTCATCTGTACAGAAAAAAATGCACATTATGTTCAGAACATATCTCAGTAACATCTCAAAATTACACAGCATGAACATGTAAAAACAAGGGACCACCAGGATTTTATACACAGAAAGGAAACCCATTTACAAAAGAGGCTTGTTAATTGTACTTTTTTTCTTTCTTTCTTTCAAAAACAAAACAAAACAAAAAAAGTGAAAGGCCTAAGATCTTACACAGCATTTGCTGTACAGTCTGTTTTCCAGCTGGACTGGCTTGGGAACACTGTCCTGGGGGAAGCCGCCCAGGAAGCTCTCCTGCTGCTGGCTTTCCAGGGGCCTCCAGCCAGCACACTGCAGGGGGACCTGGAGGGCCCGTTTCCACCACCCTAGCATGTCTGACAGAAAGCCCTGCTGGGCTCTGGGGTCCAGATGTCAACTCTACACTGGGGAAGGCAAAACACAATCTAGAGGCACTGTCTGAACTTTCTCCTGGCCCAGGGAGATTTCTCCACTGCACACAGCACAGTGTCCTATACATGTGTCATGGTAGAGCAGAAGGAATGGGAGAGGACCACCGGTCAGGATCCTGTCACCATCAGCCTGAGCAGACAGTCCCATCTTTGTGATCCAGGTGACAAATAGTCCCTGGGGATCTCACCAGATGGCTTTGGGGAGCTCTTCACCCTGAAGATTCAGTCTGGTTTGCTAATGACTTGTCTGTTATCTGAAGTCTGTGGAGGAAGGGCCAATAAGGGGTGCAGATAGAGAGATGAGCAACCAAAGACCAATGGGAGGGAAGGTAGGCAAGAACCGCAGACCCGGCCCCAGGCCCTCTGGGAAACGAAGCCTAGCGGAGAGGAGGCGAGCGTGGAGGAAGGAAGTGTCCCTCAAGGCCCGAGAGAGTCCCACAGCACCAGATGCTGCATTTTACAAAACCACTTAGGTGCTGCCCAAATGGTGAGAATTAAAAGGAAGGATTCTGATTTTTCAGGTTTTTCAAACTCGCAAGATGTTGAAATACAAGTAAATATACCAAAATGCACATAACTGAGGCCAAGGTGGGTGACCACATGTGGTCAGGAGTTCGAAACCAGCGTGGCCAACATGGTGAAACCCCATCTCTACTAAAAATGAAAAAAAATTAGTCGGGCATGGGGGTTCGTGCCTGCAATCCCAGCTACTTGGAAGGCTGAGGCAGGAGAATCACTTGAACCTAGGAGGCAGAAGTTGCAGTGAGCCGAGATTGCGCCACTGCACTTCAGCCTGGGCAACAAGAGTGAAACTCTGTCTCAAAA